CGGCTCTCTAGGACCGAACTTGCCTACCCCTGATATAAACCAATAGGATCTGCAGCTGAATACATTTCCCCTTGCTTCAGTTCTTTAAAGAAGACTGTGGCTGATGCTGTGAATGACAGATGAGGCTCTATGGGAAGGAAGAGCCTATTACACAAAGGCTGCTTTGTGGATAGCTAACCATCTTAGCGGCACTAGACCAGTCTAGTCAGACCAAAGCATTTAGTTAGTTTTGGAGTAATAAAAATTAAAGCGCTTCATTTCAGATTTTACCCACTAAGATCATTTTATTTCATGACCTTGATGGTGAGAGTAACTTCTCTAAATTGTGGCTTGATCAATTTTTCACCAGCATGTTTGAATGTCACTGATTTGTGGCTTTTACAAAAGCACAAATTGCTAAAAAAATCCACTATTTGGTGGGAAGTAATGACTATTCTCTACTGTATCACTGAACAGCATGTTTGCCTTTCCGCTTCAAAAGACCTTGTGTTTTGGTACATGGTGGGTGTTCAACAGTTTTCAAATCACAATTCACAAGGGAATTATGTTACTGAATTAGTTAAAAGGGAAGGCAAGGAAGTATCCGGCTCACCAGCTCTCCTTCGATGATGCCCATGAGAATGGGGAAGTAGTTGTCAACAATCTCCTTGCACTGGTCAGCCAGGCCCTCGTCAGGGATCAGCTGACAGGCCTTCTCCATGTATCCGAGGAGTTCGCCCTAGATTTGACAAGAATTTGGACTTTGGCCTCCCATAAAAAGTACTCAAAACTCCAGTGCTATCATGTCAGCATACCTCTGTGGCATTGTCCTTCAAAAGCTGCTCCACCACCATCAACACCTCTTTGCACAGATCACATGGCACAGATTTCTGCAAGAAAGGAGGTTTTATACACTTCGAGCTCATGAATTATGCACTGGCACACAAAAGCACTTCTGAGATTCAGGTCAGCGCACCATCTGAGGCTTGTTCCACACGTTCTGTTGGCAGTGTTGGACGGCACCACAAAGGGAAGCGGTCTTGACATTCTGGCACCAGTAGGGGGGACCGCGGGCACACTGCTCCGTACCCAACAGGGGACTCGCCACGGCTAGCAAGAAGCAAGAGAAAATAGATTAGATATGTATAACACAGCCACAATGGTCACACAGACATGTGATGGCCCAGTCAAGTCAGCAATTAC